TGAATCTATGACTGCTCTTTGTCCCCAAGAATAACTTCACATATTTGTTTAAATGACCCCTACGAAAACTGGATAAGTCTTTACAGTGGTTCGTGATTATGTCTTGAATACGCTGTAACTTCTGTGAACTCTTTGTGTTATCTGAAAATACTCAAAATGTGACAAACCTGTCTCTGTATGAACTGGTCGCTTTTAAGGACAAGCGGGCTATCCCGAGCAATTCTATTTTGAGAAAATCGAAGGTAACGTTTTTACCCCTTGTTCAGTTTCTTTAAAAGGCAGGAGAGTTTTCTCTCTAACCAAACAAATATACTCACCAATAAAACCAAACTTCTCCTATTGGTAGGGCAATGCCAACTTTTGGTGTAGGTCAAAATTTGTAGAAACCCCCGAAATATTGGTTAGTCTGCTTGCCTTTAAATGCGGCCAACTGGTCTCTATAGTCATAACAGAAGCCACAAGCTACCTGCACAGCTTATTTCTTTTATTTCACTAAAGAAAAACCAACCTTCAAAGATGATGCACTGATCATGCCTTGTCCCACAAGGCTTTTTTGTTTGTTTGTTTTGATAAGAGTCTTACGGCACTTACGACACAATAAGGTCATATAAGTGCCGAAACACAGGTTTTGATGATGATGATAATGATAACGATGATGAGGAGGAGGAGGAGGAGGAGGAGGAGGAGGATTAGAGTAATTATAAGGATTCCCCTTAGTATTGTATTCAAACTATAAGTTAGCACAATACCAACTGAGCTTCAGTTAGAACATCAGCGCTATCCGTACACCCTGGGGTCATTTTGTACCCCCGGGGTTGTATTCTTCACATTTTAGAATACTTCTAGTAAGAAGATATCTTTGAAGCTTTCAGTTTTTCTTTTATTAAAAATCCTTTTGAGAGACTGCTATGCAAAGCGTACGGATCGGATTAACGAGTTAATTTCCTCTTTGGAAAGTAGTGGCACAGAGTTCCCCACGTCGTATGGGTACGATAGTAAAACACGACGTACGCATAGGGTTAAGTGGTGGCACAGAGTTCCCCACGTCGTTATGGATACGATCGTAAAACGCGACGTGAGTATGGACTCTCCATTGTTGCTTCGAACCGTACAAATCAGCACCATAAGTTCTTAAGAAACTATCAACAGAGCTAACAGTAACAGCGCGTCCTTCAGTGTGAGCCATGAGATCTGGGCCTAACATTACCACAGGTAAAGATCGACACTATAAAAAGCGGAGAGTTCTCCCCCTTGTTTGTCAAGCTCTGGCGTGTCACTTCCTGTCTCCAGTAATCGGACCCGCGGTATCGCCGAGCGGGGTACCGTCTGCAAACACCGGCTGCCAGGAACAATGTCTGACCTCGTCGTTGTTCCAAAAGGATACGAGGTTAAGTAGTAAAAAAAAACCACTCTTTAGAAGAAAAAAAAAACGATCTGCGTATAGATGGGCTTCCTGTGAAGGTTCTCCAGAACCGTTAGATCATAATTTTCTTGTCAGCTTTCATTCTTTTAATAAAGAGATTCTCTGGAGTATTTGCAAAGGAGGTACATAACAATTTCAGACGAAAGTTTATAAATGACAAATATACGAAAGCGACAGACAAATTTCATTGGACACACAATGCGGAAAGAAACATTGGAGAATATTGTAACAACAGGCAAGTTTGATGGAAAAAGAGGCAAAGGCAGACAGAGGGAAAAGATACTGGACCAGTTAACAACATGGCTGAGAACAGCAAGAACAACAGACACCATCGCTGTAACGCAAGACAGAGGGAAGTGGAGGTCCATGATCGCCCACGCAAGTCGGCAAGGCACCGGATGATGATGACATAACAAGATAGTTCACTCGGCCTAAAGAGTGTCAGCGGAAGTCCGCGCTTTCCTTCAGATGACGCTGCAGTCTTTGTTTTGAAGCTCTCTTTCGTTTCTCCAGAAGATGAATATGAGTAGCATAGTTTGCTCGTTTCACTATTATTATTTTTCACACAAGTAGGGTAGATCTAACTCTAATCGCAGAGTACGCGGTTTTTCGAAGAACGCGCCCCCGAATTTTGAGGGCACGTTTTTAATTGGCTCAAAGAGAGGAGTGAATTATCTTGTTATGTACCATCTTTGGTATTTATTTGGGGGAAGGGGAGGGGGGGGGTATTCGAACACAGAAGCACCGATGCACGTACGTGCTCACATCACTTAGGGTTGGAGATTATTATAATTCCTCCGTATTTTCACCGCTTCAGTGCCTGGTCTGAGACAGTCTTGAGCTTTTTTGTCGTGTCGCAGATCAGGCCTGGCACTGCGATGATTAAGTAGACTACTTATCAAACGTTTGAACGACATTTTTCGTCTAAGCAAAAAGTAATTGTCGAGCTTAATAAATCAACTGTCGGACAACTTACATGCTTAAGCAGAGTTTCTGGGTTTTTTGTATTCTTTTTTTTTAATGTTATACTCTGTTGTATGCTTACGAATGTCTAAATGCTGGTTTGGTGAGTTTTTTTCCTAACGAAAAATCTTGAGAAAATTTGCCAGTTCAGTTTCAAGTTAGCAATTTGTTATTTCACTACGCGTTCACTGAGATTGCAAAAATCGGTAGATAAAACTATAAATATGCTGACTACTTGCTGTTGTTGGTTCTTACGGCGAAAATGGTATTTCGAGAACACTGTGAATTCACCACTAACTTCCATCCATGTTTCCAACTACTGTTGGCTATGTCCCAGAAAGTTTTTTTCATTTACTGCGTGATTACACTGTCATCATGAGTGAACTTTGCCCCCCTAGGCAAAAGATCGAGGGGAAAAGTTCTCTGTACATAGCACGACATGTGGGAACCAAACGACTGTCCATGTACACATGTAAAGGGTGCACAGCGGGGGTCTAGGAAATGAGAGATTATTCACTGCTAGCCTCCGCTGACAGGGAACTGCATGTCCTTTGAGGGAGAACTGTTTGAGGATATTATTGTAGGGGGACATTACAGCGGCTTCCTGGGTGTCGATTTTTTATCAGTTTAGTGCTGGTATATTTGACTAAATAGAAAAATAGATAAATAGAAAAGAGAGAAGTGGGGAAGGAAAGGGAGAATGGGGAGGAAGATGCAAAGGAGGAGGAAAGGAATCACTCTGGTGTGTATTATATGGTATAAACCCAAAGCTTACAATGTTTTCAGCATTCAGGGTAAATATAAATCTACGAATTTATCATTTTCATATGTATGGTATGGTATGGTCAGATATAGACTTGACTTCCATTTCAACACAGTTACGTGGGGGTTTCATTGTATGGCGCGCGAGTTCAGCTGGTTCGTGGCATCGTTCTGTTGATTAGAGTCGTAAGAAATCTACCAAGACTTAGCTAATGCAACTGATCTGTAATTATCGAACTCTACGTTTCGTGCTTATTTCATTCATTTCCACTCTGTTAGCTAGCTGTTCATTCGATGCAAATACGTTTCGTAGGAGCGGGGTTACAGGGAAGCTTCTGAGGCCGAAGTCGTGAATGGCAAAATTGGCTGCGCACAAAAGAGAAATAAATCTATCCTTCAGTATATTATTACGGGTTAGGCAGCTGAACTTCAGAACTTAATGTCCATTTCCGATCAGGTTAGTCCAGATGAGTGGAAAGCCTTTTGTGTTATCCAGCGCTGAAGGCTGAAGGTGAAATTTGACATTATACACCACAGTCTCCCATGGACACCGGAAAGGGAGCTAATCTGGAAAAAAATGAGAGCCACTCCAGTCCAGAAAGGTCAAGACTACACTTTTAGTACTCGCTGGTCACCCAGTTATGGTGATGATGACGACTATGATGAGGGACCTATGTTTAAAAATAGTGACGTTCGTGCCTTGATCAGCCTCGACAGCCATATCCCCTGCTGTTTTTTTTTTGTTTTTTTTTTTTGGGGGGGGGGGGTTGTTGTTTTTTTAAGAACTGGTTTGTTTATCATTCGACACACACCTGGCCCTGATTGGTCATAATGTACTTGTGCTTCCCCCTCGGCAAAGGGCGAAGACGTTTTTATCAAGTTTAGTCAAACCCTTTTTTTCTATTTTTATTCATTTGATTTTCTTGTCCTTGGCCTTTAGATAAGGAGACTGTTGGTGTTTGGATTTTCTTGTGTTAGTAAATTCTGTCTCTGTCTCTCCATCTCTCTCTCCATATCTCTCTCTCTCTCTCTCTCTCTCTCTGTCTCTCTGTCTCTCTCTCTGTCTCTCTCTCTCTATCTCTATCTCTCTCTCTCTATCTCTCT